GCGGCGAGGCGCGTGCGCGGGGCGGCGCGCGCCGCGGGCCTATTGCGCAGGCGCGGCAGGCCAGCCCGGGACCCAGCGGAGCGGTCCGAGTTCGCCATGGTCCAGGCGTCTCGCTGGTACCGAGGCGGTGAGAGCGGTGCCCTCGGGGAGCAGTGCCACAGGGCCGTTGGCAATTCCACAGAGCCGGGGGAGCTCTTCAGCCCCTCTTCTCCACTCCCGGGAGGGGTCATGACCGCCAGCGCGGTAGCCCCACGGCCAGCCTGGAGAAGCCCGGAGGCAGGCCCACGGCCCAGGCACGAAGACTCAGCCCGAGGAGTCGCGGCGGGCGCCGCAGTGTGTCCGAGGCTCCCGCAGGGACTGTCCGGCCGGTTCCGCCGGGTCCTCTGCGGATCTGGGGGTCGCGCCCTTGACCGAGTCCGCCCGCACCTGCAGCTGGGGTGGGGTCTTGGAGGAAAGCGGTTAGGGGTGGAGGGAGTTGCGGGGGGAGGTACCGGGGATTGAACTCAGGACGTTCACTTACTCTACTGAGCTATCTCCCCAGCCCGGCAGTTTTTTACTTTACTCTTTAAGACTGAAGAAAAAAAAAAGCTGGAGACCTACATGCGTTATAAAGCCCTCACGCACGTAAAAGGACTTCCGGCTCACTAGGAACATGGAGTCATTTTCCCTGCCTGAGGAAAGCAAAAAAATACCGAGTGCCAAAATTGGTGGTTCTTCTGTCGTTCTTGCTTCTATACCTTATAAGATACATAATCACAGAAATTTTCATTTTGTATCTCACAGGGACTTCGAGAGATAAGCTGCATTACAGAAAGGAAGAAATTAGAACCACACTTCAGGAGTTGTTACTCTACTTAATATTTTTAATAAACTTGTGCATATGTAAGTACACAAATACAAAAACCCTAGAAGTTAAAAGGTAGAAATGAGAAAACCATAAGATTTTAAATCACAGGCTGTCGTATAACAGCCCATGAAACATTTAAAACAATAACAGATTTTAAACATTATCTGATGACTATTTCTAGTTTTTTGTTTTTTGTTTTTGAGACAAGTTCTCACGCTGTAGTCGAGGCTGGCCTTGAACTCCCTGCCATCCTCCCTTGGCCTCAGCCTCTGGAGTGCTGGGATTATGGGCTACCACACCCAACTATTTGCCTTGAACTATTTAAAGGTTAAAATTTAGCTGGGCATGGTATCCCACATCTGTAATCTCAGTTGCTTGGGAGGCTGAAGCAAGAGAATCAAAGTCAGCTTTCCTGGACGATTTTGAGAGACCCTATTTCAAAATAAGATTAAGAAAAGCGGGGAATGTAAGCAAGTGTGTGGGAAGCCCTGGGTTCAATCCCCAGTGTGACACATGCACACAGGACAAAACTTTAGGCTGCAAATATTAGGAAAAGCTTCTATAGTCCATATTGACTATTTCTTGGCACATGTATTTCACAAATAATCCCTTCAATGTTCAATTTTTTTTTTTTTTTTTTTTTGCGGAACCGGGGATTGAACTCAGGCCCCTGAACTTGCCAGGCAAGCGCTTATTCTACTGAGCTATTTCCCTGGCCCCCCTTCAATGTTTAAATTTTTAAAAATGTATTACAGTAAAAGACACATTACTATTAATCTCCCTCAAAATACTCCCCCTTGACTCAAACACACTTACTCTATCCATCATTTTTACCACTTTCTGAAGCAGTTCTGGAAGTCCTCTTTGGTGAGTGTATTTAGTTATGTTGTTGTGGCTACCACAAAGCTTTGAACTGGTTCAAAACATTTACTTTTCATGATCCTTTTGACCTTGGTTGGGAGTCAGAAGTCACATAGTGCCAGATTGGGTGAAGAAGATGGACTACACACTGTGTTTCTGCTCATTGGCGCTCTGAGCAGCATTCATTGTAATATTCGTGGTCTTACCTCATAAGAGGACTTCCAGAGCTGCTTCAGAAAGTGGCAAGAATGATGGGATATGCATGTTCAAAGAAAGGGAGAGTATTTTGAGGAAAATTAATGGGTGTCTTTTTACTATAATAAATATATTTTTAAAATGTATTTGGTTGTGACAGGGTCTCACTATGCAGCTCAGACTCACAGTGATCCTCCTGTTTTCAACCTCCCCAGTGCTGGGATTACAAATGTGTGCCACCAAGCCCGGACTCCACACGTGGTGCTGGGAATCAAACTTCGGTCCCTGCACTTGTCTAAGCTTGCCTAAGCAAGCGCTTTGATCTGCTGAGCTATCTTGCCAGATCTGTAATAAATATTTTTAAGTTTAAAAATTAACTATATTTGATCACCCCTGTAATTTTATTCTTTTAAAGCCATATGAAGTTATTAGTTCAGCATCAGAAATCAAAATACAAATTCAGCCAAACATAGAAGTTGATCTTGACATTGCACAATTAATAGTTAAACACTTCTGATGAGTTGAAGTGAATCCTTAGGAGGACTGGGAAAATTTCTCAAAGTGCAGTCCTTCTTGCTGGGGTGTCAATGGCACTGGTATAATAAGTGAGGGATATAGTAAAAAGCATTTTAAGGCTGGGCATAATGGTGCTCACCTGTAATCCCAGCACTTGGGAGGCTGAGGCAGGAGGATTGCCTGAATTTCAAGGCCAGCCTAGGCTACAAAGTGAGTTCAAAGCCACCCTGAACTGCATAGCGAGATGAGACCCTGTCTCAGAAAGACAAAAATAAAATCAATAGCATTTTATCTTTACAGCACAGAGCATAAATTCACCTGGCTGACTTATGTTGGCTTATCCTACTCGCTGGCAGTTACATACCAGTTGTCTTAATTGATGTTGACACGGTAAGTTTGAGTCAGATTAAAGACAACTGTAAACCTCACATAGTGGCACATGCCTATAATCCCAGTACTTTGGAGGTTGAAGCAAGAGGGTCACAAGTTAGAATACCCCTTGGTGAGACCCTGTCTCAAAAATAAAAATGAGCTGGGGTGTACCTAAGCACAGAGGCTCTTGTGGTCAAGCCAGAGCAGCAAATAAATTGCAGCCTACTTTATAAATTAAGATGTCTTAAGGAAGCTTGTAAATGCTTAATAACAAAAATAATAAATGCTTATAGAAGATTTAGAAAAGAGAAAAATTGCAAGTAAAAAGGTAATTCATAGTCCCACTATCTTCAAAGACATTTCTTATAATTGGAAACAGCCCCTCTCAACACTAGTGTATAGACAGGCAAATAGATACAGTTATTAAAGATTGGCATAGATTTATGCATGCCATAGAATGATGAAGAAGATACATGGTTGTGAACAATTAAGGGCTTCTGGCAAAAAGCTATATTTTGTCTCAACTCACTGACCCCCCCCAGTTAATACCTTTTGGTTTTTTGAGACATAGTCTTGCTGTGTAGCTCAGACTGGCCTTGAAACTCACTATGTACTCCAGGGTGGCCTTGAACTCATGGCAATCTTCCTGCCTCAGACTTCTGAATGCTAGGATTATACATGTGTGCCACCATTCCTGGCTGATTAATATTTTTTATACTTTTGGGGCCAGGGAGATAGCTCAGTAGAATAAGCGCTTGCTTGGTATGATCAAGGGCCTAAATTCAATCCTTGGTTCCACCAAAAAAAAAAAAAAAAAAAAAAAAAAGAACACCTTTTACTGTATGCAAAGAACATTTATAAACGTTCTATATGAATCATCTCACCTTTCTCAATAAGAATAACATGTAGGAGATACTATCCCTCTTATGTGGCTGAATTCAAAGTTCACAGCCTTCAATTTTTTTTTTTAATTTTATTTATTTGTGTGTGTGTGTGTGTGTGTGTGTGTGTGGCCAGCTCAGCCCACCAGGGGGCAGGGCTGGCTGGCATGTGGTGCTGGGGGATTGAACCGCGGTCCCTGTGCTTTGCTAAGTTTGTTCTAAGTAGGTGCTTTAGACCACTGAGCCATCTCACCAGCCCCCTTTCTTCAATTTTTATTAGAACATATTTTTAGTACACATTCATAGGAAGTCTGCACATATACGATACACCTTAGCTCTTTTTATATTCCCTTCCCCTCCTCTTGAAAGTCCATAGCCTTAACCATTTATCTTAGTCTACTGTACAGTTGAAACATGGAAAAAAAAAAAAAAAGACAATTACAGAAACAATAGTTATAGCCTGGGGATATAGCTCAGTGGCTGTAAGTCCCTGCCTGGCAAGTGCAAGGTCCCAAGTTCAATTCCTGGTACCAGAAAAAAGTAGTTATAATGTGACTTCATTTTTTGTAAAGATGAAAAAAAAATTTTTTTATAAGTGTGTATGTAGGGCTGGTGAGATGGCTCAGTGGTCTAAAGCATCTACTTAGAACAAGCTTAGCAAAGCACAGGGACCGCGGTTCAATCCCCCAGCACCACATGCCAGCCAGCCCCGCCCCCTGGTGGGCTGAGCTAGCCACACACACACACACACACACACACACAAATTTTAAAAAATAAATAAATTTTAAAAAGTGTGTATGCATAAAAACTGAAGAATCAGCCAGGCATGGTGGCATACACTTGTAGTCCCAGCATTCATGAGGCTGAGGCAGGAGGATCACTGTCATTTCAAGGCCCAACAGCTTGAAAGTTGAGTTCAAAGCAAGTCTGAGCTGCACAGGGAAAGCCTGTCTCCTAAAGACAAAAACCCAAACCTGAAGAATCTTCCCCAACTGAACTCTGGTAGTGGGATTATAAGAAGCTTCTTCCCACTTTAGGTAATTCTATTTTAGATGTTTTTAAATTCTCACTTTCATAATTAGATCAAACAAAGTTGAGGGGCCAGGGAGATAGCTTAATAGAATAAGCGCTTGCCTTACATGCACAAGGGCCTGAGTTCAATCCCTGGTTCCACCAAAAAGATGAATTTTCAAAACTGGGAACCAATTGTGATATTTTTAATTCTGACGAACTGAGTTTTGAACATAAGTTTTTAAACAAAAATAATTCTTCTCCTTAGTGACTTTTGGCATGGTAAATCCACATATGTATTACTTTAACAAAGTTATATCATCTCTGTTTTTGGATACTTCTGTACCTGGTGATGAAAGAACCAACTTTAAGTCTATTCGAAGCATAACTGATTTTTGGAAGGTAAGGTATGCACCTGGGGATTAGGTAGCTTTAGGTATTCCGTATACCCTTCATAGGAAGCAGGGAATATTTGTTGAAGAAATGGGTAAGAATGGGTATCATTTCCTTAAGCTATTATAACTTACTAACCCTTAGTGTTCACTGAGAATCTACATTCATAGTGTGATACTATTCTCAGAACTTTAAAAAATGGAATTTTTGAACACTCGTAAGTCATTTGGAAAATACAAAACTTGTTGCTTACGGAGAGTTAATATCAGTAAAGGGCTGGGGATGTAGAGCATTTACTTAGCACTTGTAAGGCCTATGGTTTAATTCCCAGCTTTAGAAAGAAAAGATTAAAAAGGTAGTCTATAAGTGTGTATATAAAATACGTACTAGCAACAATTACTCTTAATGACTCAGTGTAATAGACATGATTTTGATATGCAACCTATTGTGTGTGTGTGTGTGTATGCACTCGCATGCACGCACACATGCACATTACAGTAATGTGCTGTGTATAGAAAGAATTGTGTTATAGTTGTACTAGTCACTTTTCCATTGCTGGGACAAAGTACCTGACATACGCAATTTAAAGGATGAAAAGTTTATTTTGGCTGACAGTTTCAGAGATTTCAGTCCGTGGTTGGCTGAATCCAAGGCAGAAAGGGCCTGCAGAAAGGGCAGCCGGGAAGCAAAAGGCAAGGGAAGAGCCTGAGACAATGGCCTGGTGAAAGTGTTCCCCAAGGTCACACCCCCAGGGGGCCGGGAGATGGCTCAGTGGAATAAGCGCTTCCCTGGCAAGCGCAAGGGCCTGAGTTCAGTCCCTGGTTCCACCAAAAAAAAAAAAAGGTCACAACCCCCAGGACTTACTTCCTAACAGCCCATTCAGCTGTGAGTCTTCAAAGGGCTGGCCTATTAGATTTCAGGGTTACAATCCAGGCACCTCTCTTATCCAGTCAAACTGACAGTTAAGATCAAGGGGCGCAGTAGTGTTTATTACATTTGGGGGCTGGGGAGACAGCTCAGCCCATCTAAGTGCCTGCCTGGCAAGTGCAAGGACCTGGATTTGTTCCCCAGTACTGCATGCTGTACCAGCCCTGGAAACCTGGGTAAGCCATGCTGGCCACTGAAACTGGGCTTTGTGGTGGAGGATCACTATGAGTCTGAGCTGCATAGTGAGACCTTGTACCAAATAAAGATTAATTTTTTTTTTTTTTTTTTTTTTTTTTTTTTTTGGTGGAACCAGGGACTGAACTCAGGCCCTTGCGCTTGCCAGGCAAGCACTTATTCTGAGCTATCTCCCAGGCCCTCTAAAAAATATTTTTTAATGAAAAATTTAAAAAAAAAATTGGGTATGAAGAATGAGACAGTTAGGGAAGGCTTTCAGAAGTGATGATAATGCCATTCAGTCCTAAAGGATGACTAAGGAAAGGTCATTCTAGGAATAAGGGACAATATGTACAATAGAATAGTTTATTGAGACAATGGCCTGGCGAAATGTAGAGCTGTTTGGCACTGTGGGTGTCTGGAAGATGTAAGTGCAAAAGGCAAAGTTGTGAATTAAACAAGGTCAGCGTGAATTCCAATGAATGCTAGAAATTTCCAATTTGCCAAGGAGAAGGCGAGGACAGATGTGAGATAAGGGCTCAGTGATCAGAAGTCATTGGCTTAGACTTGGTGAAACATTAACAACAGGAGAGGAAGGGAAGCTCTTGCTCACTCTGTTTACTGTGTGCCCTACAGGCATTATATGGCTAAAGGCAAAGAAGAGAAAGGAAAAAATAATGCCCTCTGGGCTTAGGACCTCTATGAGCAGAAAGGGGCAGAGCCAGGGGTAGCAGTCCACACAGCACAGCTGTGGAAGGAGCTTGGGGAATGGGGAGTGGAGACAATTGCAAGGTGAAGTCCTGATGTGTGGCTACAAGCAGCTCTGACACCCACCTTACAGAAGGCAAGTTTTAATGGAGTTAGACACAGGACTAAGATACATGAGTTAATACTTGTGCTCAGAGCCGTACCTGTTACACAGTGGGCTTCAGGAAGTGCTAACTGCCAAGAGGACCATATCAGCACCATGAATACTCTCACATATAATGTGTAAGCAAAGATTTGTTAATGTGAAAATATTTTCTCAAGCTATTTCTCTTTACATGAAGTTTATGGAAGGACCCCTTTTGGAAGGTTTGTACTGGGATTCATGGTACAACAACCAAAAGCTGTATAATTTAAAAAACAGCAGTCGCATCTACTATGAGAACATTCTTCTTGGAGTCCCCAGAGTTCGGCAGCTAAGAGTTCGCAATAACACATGCAAAGTCTATTCATCCTTTCAGTCCTTGATGAGCGACTGTTATGGCAAGTATTCTTCTAAGAATGAAGACGTAGCTGATTTTGGCATCAGAAGTGGTTCTGAGTAAGTAATGTAAAATTATAACTTTTTCTAGCAGATAACCACCGTATCTTTTAAAAATTGTTAAAACATGCGTATTTCCCAAGTAATACAGGCTCTACCTGGTAGGTAAGGTAACTGTTTCAACAACAGTATCAAAAGAAGATTTGGATTCAAATAACGGAACTTAACAAAAAAAGGGTATACAGATGAAAGTCCATTTTGTACCTGTGTATTCAAAGTGGTTAGGATAGATATATAGTTACATTGTCTTAATGAATAGAGTGATTTGTTCTAATGGTGTTTGTAGATAGGATATCATGTCCGTATCTTGTACAGCAATTAACCACTGGGAGGAATGTATGCAATGTGTTAATTATTGAAACTGTCCTACCAATTTGATTTGAAACTATCTCATTGCTATTTGTTTATCAATAAAATTATGGGAAAAAAAAAAGATTTGGAGGTAGTGTCTTAGTTACTTTTCTAGCATTGCTGAGACTAAATACCTGGCACCCCAAGTTAAAGGAGGAAAGGTTTATTTAGCTTATAGTTTGTAGAGAGCTGGCTCCAAGGCAGGGTGGTGTGGCAGAAGGACAACAGTTCATGGTGGTGGTAGAAAAGGGCAAAAGCACCTGGAACAAGAGAGGAGGGGCAGACCTCTTGTCTTCCCTCCTACTGTGTGCAGGCTACCTGCTCTGGGCTGGGTGCAGTGCTCACATGCCCCATCCCAGCGACAGGCAGTGGGCCAGTCACACACTGGATTCAGCAGCCTCCGAAAAGCCCACGCCAGGTGACCAGGTGAGACTTGGGAGGACTTTCCATCACAAACCGAAACAGATAGCAGTGCTTCGAAAAGGAAGAGCACCCAGACATGGTGTGGTTCACTGTAATCCCAGCACTCAGGAGGCTGAGGTAGGACACTGCCACAAGTTCAAGGCCAGCCTGGGGTACTTTAGTGAGTCCAGGCTAGCCTGAACTACATAGCAAGACCTTGTCTTTTAAAAAAAAGAAGCAAAAAACAAGCAAAAAAAAAAAAAAAAAAAAAAAGACTACAAGTTTTTGCTTACCTTAGAGTGTAGTCTTTTTTTTTTTTTTTTAATACAAAATTGTCTCAGTTACTCTTCTCTTGTTACTGGGACAAATACCCAACACTCGAAATTAGGGAAGGAAAGGTTTGTTTAGCTCACAGTTACTGGAGGTTTCAGTCCATACTCGGCTGGCTCCAAGGCTGAGTGGCACAGGGCAGAGGGCATCCATTTATGGCAGTGGCAAAGAGCAGAGAGCAAAGGGAGTAGCAGCAGCTCAGGCAGCCAGCCAGCCTCCTCCCCTCCTTACACTGCAATGCAAATTACCTGCCCCAGGACAGGTGTAGCACCCACACCCACAATAATGAATCACAAACTCCAGAAGGTCAGCCATCAATACCCACTATGAAGACAGTAGATCTAATATAGAAACTTTAGAACTCAGGAAGAACACTATATGTGGTGCCCATGTCAGCAAGATTTTTTACCTGAGATGTCCAGCAAGACTTGGGACTCTGACAAAGATACCTCCATGTGGGCCATGGACCCCAAGCTCTGTAGTTTCTTTTCAGAGGCAAGACCAAGCAGGTCAAGTATTGATGGATCTGGCTGTGGTGAGTTTTCCTGTGAGGGTAGGGAATGGGATGACTTACCCGCTCCCTGGTAGATAGGGCTGTCACATTTCAAGTGATCCTCAAGCTTGTAGATGGGACCAAGTCTGCAAGTTGGGGAAGGCTCGTGCCCAGTGTCCTTCTTTGCTGCACTTGCAGGCAGAGCTTGAGTGGCAGCATTGTTTAGGTTCAGCATTACCTTGTTAAGGTCTTACTTTGATGGGAGTCTTGAGTTTCACAGCCAAATGTTGGCACTGCTGTATAGTTAATTTTGGTCTCTATTATTGAAGACATGGAAAGTCAGGTTAAGTAAGTTTCCCTGTGAGGTTTGTGGGCCGAGATTTGTCTTTTTAGCTTGGCATGTGTTATGGTTTGTGTATAGTTGTCCCCCCAAAGCCTCATGCAGTCTTGGAGTGGCCTCTGGAGTTTGTGATTGATTACTGTGGGTATGGATGCTGCACCTGCCCTGGGGCAGGTGATTTGCATTATAGTGTAAAGTGGGAAGGGGGGCTAGCTGCTTGAGCTGCTGCTACCCCTCCCTTGTACTCTTGCTCTTTGCTGATGCCGCCATGAATAGTTGCTTTCTGCTAAGTGCTGCTCTGCTTTGGACCCAGCTGCATATGGACTGAAACCTCCAGTAACTGTGAGCTAAATAAACCTTTCCTTCCTTGATTTTGAGTGTCGGGTATTTGTCCCAGCAGTGAGGGAAGAGTAACTGAGATAGCATGAATCTCATGAGCAGACCAGGATATAAAATAGGAATTAATATAAAAGTTGTTTTCCAGGAGGGCAATATACTTGATTATCAAACACCTTGAAATACAAAGTGTGACCAGAGAACTGCTTTTATCAACCATAGACATTTTAGCAGGTAAATTCTTACAGAATGTTAACAGACAGTAGTTAAACTTTTACAGAGAACATTTGACATCAACAGTCATACATAGTAGTGTCACTTAACAGTCATAACACATGATGAGAAAATTATCATTTAACTGATAACCTCATGTTGGCTTGACATGAATCTCTTATAAATATCTGGAGCATAAGAGAAAGGCACGGATATATTTAATGTAGCAACTTTTATGAGAAAACCTTTTAATTTTTTTGTTTTTACCAAATTATTAGAGGTGTCCTCTAAGGAGATTATTGGGGGCTCTCCCCTGATGAACAAGGTTGGCCACCCTCTGTCCCCCAGTCAAGAGTCCTGTCCAACAGTCTCTCCCCATTTTAATGATTTTTGTTTAATTGTAAATTAATTCTGATATTATTTAGACCAGCCGGTAACTCAGGAGAAAGCATGCTTTTCAGTCTATATTTTAAAGCTCAAATAAAAATAGGAACAGCTATTGACAGAATGACATATAAACATATGTACAAACACAAAAATCTTTACAAAATCAGAGTGCACTCAAATATATTTCTGCCCAGGTTAAATTATGATGATCTGTTTAAGTTTGTAATAATGAGAGACTAGTCAGAACTTTTTGTAGATCAATTAGCAGAGATCTCTTAGAATTTGAAAAACGTAAAAACCTCTTCTTTATAGTTACCAAGTTTCAGTAGGAGCAAGCAAACTGAGCATAGTATAAGGATCGGACACAGTACAGTAGAAGAACACTGACACTGCACACACAATCTGGATCTGCAGGCTGGCAAGAAGACTGTAAAGGGAGGGACGGGAAGCTGCGACTTAAGGTCTCTTTGTTGTGGCTGTAACAGGAGACTGTCTGCTGTAGTGGCTGAGGGGCAGGGGGAGTGAGAGTGAGCAGCAGGCTCAACTGGAAAGGGCAGGATAGATGGGCTGTTGTCCTGCCATCAGCTCCATAGCAGAGGGAAGGGCATGTGCTGTTGGGGAAAAATGTATTATTAGTTTTTTGTAACTGGAAGGGGGTGGTGAGGAAAGGCGAGGGGAGAGGGAGCAAAGAGAAAGGAGGTGTCACTTTAGCTCCTGAAAGTTGAGAGGTCAGAAGGTGAAGCAGTGGCTGCAGCTTTAGGCTGTGGTAGTGGCCAGTAGCGGTGGCAGCACTGGGGGTGGGGGCCTGTAGTGACAGCAGTGGCTGCAGTGGTGGCAGTGGCTCCTCTGTGGGGTGGAGTGTGGGGGAATCTGGGTGGGTTGTGAGTATGGGAGAGGGGCCTGTCTTTAGAGCAAAGGAAAGCTTTTAAGGGGTTTTTAACCACTTGCTGCGACAGCAAGAGTTTTAAGAGGGGGGGTTGGCAATGAATATTTTTCATGGTGACAGAATTTGAGCTGAGTTGGGCTTTAAGACTTGGGGGGCTTCTTAGGGACAGTTGTGGCTGTGTTGCCTCATTGTCTACCAAGGAATGTGAACACAGTCTATTCTGTGTTCCGGACACAGGCCTGCGGTTTTGGAACTGGGAGGGGGAGCCACTCGTCCTTGTGTCTGCAGGACACAAGGGTAGAAACCCTCTGCCAAGCACTGTGGAGACAGCTTCCCTCATCCTGGGAAATCTCAGTGGACCCAGCTCACCTGGACTGGAGTTGGATGCAGGCTGGCAGCAGCAAAGAGACAGGTTCCAGAGGAGAGAGGCTTGGTAGGGGGCTCAGGACTGGGGGGTTTGGCCCCCAGGAGCCTCACATGTTGCCCATCTGAGTCACAAGGTGGGCAGGGGCTCAGTTGGGGCTTTGGCTAAGAGGATCTGTTGGGGTTTATAAGATAGGCAGAGTTCCTGGTGATTGCAGAGGGAGAAGAAAGCAAGGTAAGGGACCTTGGACTATTTCCCATTGCAGTGACTAAAGTTATCTAAATTAATGAAGCTATCATAATTGGGGGGGACAGATAGTTTCATTGTCCAACTTGTATTGTGGCCAGGCTGTTTGACTTTGAGGTCAGAGAAGCCTAAGGGGCCCTCTAAAGACACACTTAAGACAGTCTAGGACAGAAGAATAGTTGAGAGGGTTTTTTGTTTTGTTTTTGTTTTGCAGAACCAGGTATTGAACTCAGGCCCTTGTGCTTGCTAGGGAAGCATTTATCCTACTGAGCCATCTCCCCAGACACGTGAGAGGGTATTGAAGAATTGCCCATAGTGGTGAGAAGACAGATTGTGAGGGGAGACAGGGAAGAGAGGAGACTGAAGATGACAATCATGTTTTGAGAGAGCCTTCTCAGCAGGCATCCCCAGGTCTGAGAGGAGGCAGAGTAGGGAGAAGGAGCGGCTGGGCGTGTTGATATGACTTAGCAGAGTAGGGCCCAGGCTGGCAGAGAGCCCTCCAGAGTAAAGATAGTCATCCTCAGAGAGAAATCAGGATAAAATAGAAAAGGAAAGAGTAGAAGAGGATGTCAGTGTTGGAGAAATCCTGGAAGGAACCCTGAAGGAATTCAGAGGCTACCCAATCCAGTTACAAATTGAAGAAGTTGCAGGG